TGAATATTAAATTATTAAAATAGCTTCAAAATTCATCGAGATAGGAGCTATGAAAGTTAAGGTATTAATTTTTTTTTAAAATGTCAATTTGCCTTATTTCTATTGACGGCAGCCCATATTTTTAAAGAGATAGTTTTGAAAAATTAGAGTCCATTCTAGTGTGTCTTAGCGGTTATTGCACCATGTTGCTACTCGAACAGCTGTAGGTTCGAGACCGGCCTACTGTTTACATTGCCCTTGAGGGTTGCCTGGCCTCCCTGCGTTTCTGCGGCAGGGTCCCACGGGGGGGTGTTGCAAAAGGGTTTGATTATTAAGAATGGCATTTTTTATTAATGATACATATATTTTGTATTACGGTTTTAGTTCTTATTTTAGTTATATGTGACAAATTTGTGTTAGATAAGTCGATCAATAACTTTTTTGATTCGATAGGTAATAACGATAAGTAAGGATTTGATCTTTACAAAATACTAGTGTTTGACCCGTGGCGTTGCCAGAGAAGTTTATAAACAAACAGAAAATGTGTGTGCCACATGTGTCACATGTCCATAGCAACGAAAATGTATACAATAATAACGATAACGAAGGTAAAAAAAATACCAAATTTTTTTAGCATAAGTAATTCAAGTGAATTTTAAATTTATAACGTCAAATTGCTAATATATATTATAAATAGCATAATCACTATAACTACATAAAACATTTACATTTTAATAAAATTTAACTTTATTTAAAAAAAATTGGTAGAGTTAGTTATTTAAATAATTTTTCCACCAATCTTCAAATCCAATACAGTTTATATTAATTTCTAGTTTAATTAGTTGATTATTTGATAAATGACAATCATATGGACGGTTTACTGTAAAAAATCAAATAAAAAAGATTTAAATTGATTTTTATTTAACTAAACCAATTTAATTTAACCAAATAAACTTATTTACCAGCTGCAGCTGCAGGTATATGATCTATTGGTTTAATATGATTAATTGGAACTTGTAAAACTTTTGAAAAAATTTCTAGTAATAAAAATTTAAAATTTATTAATATATAATAAGATTTATTTCAAAGAAGAATTATAAAATTAGTTTATTACTTACCACACATTTTATACTTTGTAAAGTTTTCATTACCACTAAAATGTAAAATTCCAGAAATTGGAATATGCTGATCAACATGTTTTTCTATTATATAAATTTTTGAACCATTATTATGAAATTGAGAAAAATTTAATATAAAAATAATATAACCAAGGCTATATACACTTACCAGAGATATCCTTAATAACCCTTGCTACATCCTGAACTATCAAGATAGTAAATTAAAAAAACAATACAAATGAATGAGATTTAGATATATAAATTACTCATAAACAAGAGGTTGCTTATTTTTTCTTTACCATTAGTAGGATATCTAATTGCATAGTGATCCATCTCAACATTTTTTGATGAATTCTATTTGAAAAATATATTTAGTCACAATGATTAATGATATTTGTTTCCATTCCATTGTTGATAATAACCTTAACAGAATCCACCAAAATATTGACAGCAGATTCCCCCGGAAATTCTACCTCACCGTACCTAATAAGGCCAAGAATTTGTAAAGCATCACTAAACCAAGCAGAAACAAATGAAAGATTGTCATGAAAAGTTCTAATTACAAAATTGGCACACGTAAAATCACTGCTTGTTGATTTGCGCTTCGTATAGCAAGTTCACTTTTGTATTTGGTTTCTCCTGATGTAGAATGATTATTCATAGTTATTGTGAGGGAAAATAAGATTAAGATAGTTTTAAAGGAATTACCATAAAAATTCAATGGATTTGGCTTATCATTCACATCATAAGGAGGATTTTTTCCATCAAATACATAATCAGTGGAAATATGCACGAGTAAAACATTGTAGACCTTGGACAATGAGGCAATGTGAGCTGGAACGTTGACATTGAGCTATAAAAAGTACCGAAAGTAAGTGAAACATTTCAAAGGGCAGAGTAGATAAATCTAATTGGAATTAAGAATACTTCAAAAGTTGCTTCACGATTTTTTTCTGCAACGTCAGGTCTTCGCTCGGCAGCAGTATTGATTATCACTAAGTTGTATAATTAATGCATGATGTAAATAAGAAAACACTTGAAATAGTTATACTAACCGTCAGGTTTTAATTCTTGAATCAGAGATTCCAATTTATCTTTGTCGGTTAAATCAAACTATGAGCGTATTTATATTTATAAATTATAATTTAAGAAATATATTGTATAACAATTAGTACCGGAACTACCGAAACTACCGAAACATAAAAATTCTAACCTGTCTCAGCCCATTTTTCACACGGCTTTTAGCAAGGCCAGTTACTGTACAGTATTTTACAATAAATTAATTAGATTAAATTACATAAAAAGCTGCTGAGTATAACACAAAACTTTACCTTCATGGCCAGCTTCACGAAATGTTTTATATACAGCGCGACCTAGTAAACCAGAGGCACCTGTTACAATAACGCGCATTGTTTTTTTGGATTAAAAGTTTTTATACGTTAATGTTCACCAGGTGCATGGGTAAAATGGCGTAAGCTTGTTATAAAATAAAATTCATTATCGTATAAAAATATATAAAATTGGGTATCGTACAACATAAATACAGTAGACGTAATAAATAAATAGACGTAATTTATCGGGATCAAAAAATTTATAACCCGGTTTCGGACTGATAAACATCCTATATAGAAATAGATTGAACAAAATATAAAAGACCATATCGATATAATATATACTGTATACAGTATAAAAACAAACATCACATCACAATATTGCTCAGAGCGAGCTGAGAAAGTAGAATGTACTTGCACTGTTTTATATGCTGGAAGCAGTCGTCATTCCAACAAAAAGATGTTCTCTTTCCCGCAAAGTCAATGACTACTATAATTTACTATATACTATAATTTATATTTATCAAGAGTTAAAAACCGAAAAACCGATAGTGATAGATTAGCATGCTTATCGTTTATAGCAAGTAAGACGTTTAAAAAATAATAATAATTATGATATCACACAATCGAAAGATCAATTTAACCAATGCACATAATATTTATTAAATGAATTATCAATAAATCGATCAGGCACTTAATTTGTGGAAGATGTGGTATGTACAGCATATATCGATATACATAGACCAAAATGTATCGGTATATTAAAAGTAACCGGTTTCCAAATTAGTGTTATCGCTATGGACTGGGAATATCTCTGAGTTGATTAAATCAGCAGATATCAATGATAAGTACGTAATACAATATAAATATTTTCTATATACAATCGGAGGTTTCCCACGGTAATCAAATTGTATTTTTTTAAAAAATTTCAAAAAATAAACTGGTCCGAGTATTCATTGGAGATACGTACGTACGTACTATTGGAAGTTTTAAATCATATTTTTGTGCTGTCGCTATTGGAAGACGATTTAACAATAAAAAGGTCCTTAGCCATTTAGACTTTGCCTATTTGATTCACTAACAGGAATATTTAATTTAAATCATATGTCAAATAATCGAAATAAGCAAGAAATTGACAATTTCAATTGGCTATTTGTGAAGACGGTCCGAGACAGGTAAGAAATTCGGTCTTTTTAAAACCGATCTATCCAAGGATGTTGATCTAGCTATTATTAATAAAAAAAAATATTATTAATGAATAGAGTCTTAGATCATCCCTAAAATACGTGTAATAAATAAAAATAAAATAAATAAATAAAAAAAAAACCATGTAGTCGATAAAGATACTTTTGATAAAGGATATTGCATCACTTTACATAGATAGTAATCGGATATAAATACATAAAAGTAACCTTTTCGTAAAAAAAATGTTGAACAACCCGGATCATTTCGTAAGTTCTTTTCATTTATCAAGCTTCGTTACGTACCATTTTCGTATATCAGATATCACAATCATTAAACTTACGACAATATATAAAATTGATTGATTGAATGATATCAGTATTTTGAAATTTTTGATAGACCAAACTTGTGAATTTTCAAAGAAAAAAATTTTTTTTATCAACCGAAAAAAATGTCGACCATTTGTAATAAAAATTCTGTTATTAGAATTTCTCTCGATGAAGGGCACAAGTTACTTGTTAAAAATTTTATTGGTATGCTCTACTTAATAATTAATATTGTTATATAATATAAATATTTCTATCAATGTCCAATATAACTTGTCATTATTCGATAGATTTGGCGAATGAAACTTTGGGAGGAAGAATAATCGAAGTTTCTGATGAATTTTTTGCTGAAGCTCGAAATTTATTGAAGCCTACCAAATCTGTCAGGGATGCTAGTAAATATACCGGTATTTATTATTATTATCGTTATTATTATTTCTATTATATTATTTTGTTATTATATATCATAAAATAATAATAGTCACATATGTTTCTAATAGAACGTGGTGCGTGGTATGATGGTTGGGAAACTCGGCGTCACAATCCACTCTCCCATGATTGGTAGATATCCGTTTTCAATATATATACATACGTATGTGAATTTTTAAACAGATTACTAAATCGTTATCGCATATTTTAGGGTTATCGTAAAATTAGGTTTCATGGGTAAAATAGTTGGCTTCGATATTGATACCGCTCATTTTAACGGTAATCATGCGCCGCTTGCAAGCGTTGAAGCATGCTGTTCCCCTAAAAGTGATCCCAAACATGGTGATGATACGGAGGTAATTAAAGCATGTCTTTGATAATTTTTCAAATATGATCTCTAAGTGTCAATTGATGTTTTTAGTGGTTTGAAATACTCGAGAAGGTTGCTCTCGATCCGAGTTCTCAACACTATTTTTCCATTCGAGAAAGTTCTACATTTACTCACGTGAGACTTAACATTTATCCTGACGGTGGCGTGGTACGTATTTTTGTCCATACCGTCCCATCACGTGATATAACATAATATTTAACCATATATAATTTTGAAAAGGCCCGGTTCCGCGTATACGGTATTGTAAGTGTACTATGGCCACAAGATCCTACTGCTTTGATCGATCTTGCTTATTTAGGCCACGGAGCCAAAGTTGTTGCATGTAGCAATCAACATTACGCTAGAGCTGAAAATTTATTGCTGCCAGGTCGTGGTATTGATATGAGTGACGGCTGGGAAACCCGGAGGAGTAGGGAGAAAAATCATTCTGATTGGGTAATCATTCAGTTGGGCGCTCCCGGATTTCTTGATCATGTCGAAATCGATACCGCTTTTTTCAAAGGAAATTTTCCTGAAAGTGCTACCTTAGAAGCTTGCTATTCAGATCCGGTTGGTATTAAAATAAATATATATATTTATATAATGTGCTTAATTTATTATTTATTTATTGACATAGCTTTTAATTTATTAGGGGAATCCGAATGAAAACAATACGTGGATTACTATTCTAGAAAGATCAAAACTTTCTTCCCACAAGCAGCATCTGTTTCAATTATTATGCACGGACCAAAAATTTTCGCATGTACGATTGACCATCTTTCCAGGTATATTCATATTATATATAACTTTTTTTCTATGTGTAATTTTATGCATGTCACCATATTTTACTTTATAAATATTGTTTTAATAAAGATGGTGGCTTGAAACGACTACGAATTTTCGGTCGTAGACAACTACCCTCATCCACTTCTTTGCAATCATTATCCTTCAAATCAATAATCTCTCCCTCCATCACTTCTCAAACGTCTCCTGAAATTCTAATGGCCCAACCGCTGACTTATGAAGCATTTGCTCCATACGGACATGTCATTGATTCCTTTAAGGAACCATCTGTTTCTCCGTTTATGACTTCTATAACTAATAATTTGAGAGTAACGCCCGCAAACCAAGGAACTGCGAGAAAATATAATCACATTGCACCGGTCATCAATTTTAGGGAGACTGACATTATCTCAAGTGATAAGGGCACAGTAGTTCAATTTGTCGCAAAAGCCCGTCCAAATTTGAGTTTGTTTAGGTGTTCGCCGATGAATCTTCCGATTTCCATAAAGATGTTGGAAAAGCATTCTTATTCCAGTCAGGCCTTTATACCTATGAATAATGGATCGAAAGCTAAAGGGTATTTGGTCATTGTTTGCTTGGGTGATAAAGGTAGCTTTCGGTTCTTTTCATATTTGGATCACCCGCAACAAATCGGTGCAATAAGACAATCATGGGATTTTAAGAAAATCAATTGAAAATCATCACATTATTAATTTTAACATGAGTGATGCCAAGGGAAAACGAGACATTGGTTTATCATTTATTATTTAAATAATCAATTATAAATCATCCCTTGGCGTCGCTCATATAATAGTAACGAAAAAAGAAATTAAATTTATACACTTATTATATACGTATTTTACAAATTAACACTATTTTTAGAAAGATAAATTATATATATCAGATTATTATTATAAAATCTCAAAATCTGATTGGTTGGCTCATTGCACCGTTTTGCTGCGGGGGTCTCATTTTTCGAGTCCGTATTATTTGTACATTAGGTTATCTTAAAATTCTGAGCTATTGACATTTTCAAAATCCCAAATTTTGACCAACTGACTTGTGTGCAACTCTCTTTGTATATCTTATAACCTTTTTTTTTTTTTTTTTTTTTTTTGAAAACAGATGGTAATCCAAATTTGGAAACGCTACGACCATTTATTGCTAAAAATTGTCAAGGGATAAGTTATAATCCTGGGGTTTGGCATCACCCTATGATCGCTCTTAAAGAAGTAAGTATTAGTTACTATTATATAAATATTTCATGTATCATATCAAGAATTTAATAGTTTTTAAATTTTTTCACTAAATAGACAACTAATTTCGTGTGCCTAACTCATGAATCCGGAAATCAATTACAAGACTGCGAAGAAATAGATATGACGAATCATAATATCCAAGTCGATGCACCTTCAGATTTTTATAAAGGTGTTGGAGATTATAATGAAATCGGAAGAATAGTACAAAGCATGTTGTAATTCTACTGTATTTTCTAATTAGACATCTTTTTTATTAATAACACTTAATAACATTTAATAAATGCCTTTTTTTTGTTAATAAGTTTTTTTAGATGTATCAAATGTATAACTTTTAGATCATTCATTAGATCTTTTCATATGTAACCTTCATATAATTAGAATTTTTTTTTTTGCATAATGTGACTTTACGTTTGCAACATAGAGTCAATGGTTTACCATATATTTAACAATGATTTCATTGTGATCATATAATAAAGATTCAAATTTGTTTATAAAAGATGCTAATAGGAAAGTGATAGGTCAGAAAATTTATTAAATGGTAGTTATAGGCATGCCTAAATGTTTAAGTGAAAATCAACTTAAGTAAATGGCCTGGTGGTTCTCTTTATTAAGCTTTAAACGATTAGAGAGATGTTAGAATAAAGATTTTTGATGTTGAACGTTTTTACTTAGAGCACCAGACACCAATCGATTTTTCATATGCTAAATTTAGGTTTGACGAAAAGCAAGGAAGAATGCAAAATAAAGAGAAAATCTGATGCTAGAGTGACCTTCTGGCAAGTGCTATGCTAGGTATCACTCTGCTCAAGTTTAGCGATAAGGTCCATGTTTTTCCAAAGTTTGTTTAATTTTTTCATTTTCAGCTTTAACCTTTACATTCTCAGCTTTAAGTTCGATGTTCTCAGTCTTGATTTCAGCATTCGCTCTGCAATTACGAAAATAAGCTTTGAATTTAATTCTCATAATGAAACAGTTTCAGATAAGTCTTTAGTCTCGTCTTTTGGGGTCTGCATATTTAATATTGTATTATATAACTTTATCACAATTGTTCGGAAAGAGATTTTTATCGACCACGTCTTGAAAAATGTTTTTATTAATTTAATAATTTTTAATTTACCGCGGTTTTCGACACTAAAATATTTTGTATACTCACTGTATACTGATATAAAATCATCTAACCCTAAAAAATTTTTTTGTATACTTTAAATATATTAGTTGTATTTTAAAGTATACAAAAAATTTTTTAGGGTTAGATGATTCTATATCAGTATACAGTGAGTATACAAAACATTATAATTAGTTATCTTTATTTTTTCGAAACAACTAAAAAATTTTAAATCATATGTCAACTGCTTTAAAGATTTCACGCTCTATCACTTCTGCCAAGAAAAATTCTCAAACATATGTGGGTTAGTAGATATTGGTATCAAAATACCCTATATAACAGCAAAATACACATGCAAAGTAAATGTGGTTAAACATAATTATCAGGACTAGCTTTATTATATAAAAAATAAAACTAAAACATAAAATAAAATTCCGTGTATATATTTATTAAAATATATATATATCTAAGAGTAAAGTAATGTGCCACACTTGGTGGGTTGGGAATTAAGGAAAGTATATATACAAAAAAATTTAGAATTTGATCCTATATCGTAATTAGAAATATTAGTGTAAACGAAAACAAGGTATGGGTAGTACTCTACGTTGTAAAGACCAACTTTGAGTATGTATGAGAGTAGATCGCGTAAATCTGATAGGAGGATCAGATTTTCAGCTACGTATCCATAGATGGACCTATTATGATACCTATATAGTAATTCTTCTATTGGATTCACTTTGTTTATATCTTCGAACAACCTTGCAGTGTTCGAAGACTATCGAGCGATCTAAATTTTTATATTTGTAAATTTTAAACATAAATATCTTAAAAAAATGACGAATAAAAAAAAGGCAGTTTCTATTTGTACACTAGTATATAAAACATAGGTATATATAATAATTCATAAATTTTCTTGTTCGGGTTCTAACAAAAAAGAATCTTTGTGAAATTTTAGTATACCGTATGTTTCCAAAAATAAGCTACCTCCAAAAATAAGCTACCCCCTCTTTTCTTGGAGAAGAAACATAAGAAAAATCTTTATTCCGAAA